CGCCTGCTTATTATATTATGTTTTATGGACGGGCAGATAGATTGGTGGATAGATAGGCAAATAGATGGATAGATGTCTTAAGGCAAATAGATGGATAGATGTCTTAAGGCAAATAGATGGATAGATGTGTTAAGGCAAATAGATGGATAGATGGTGTGTGTATGTGCGTGTTTTTGAGTGTGTGTGTGTGTATGTATGTTTAGAAGCATGTGTGCGTGTTTATATGTGATTATAAGCGTGTGTGCGTGCTTGTGTATGCGTGTGTGTGCTATTGGGTTTAGAAGCGCATGTGTGTGTTTGCGTCTGCGTGCATTTGCAAGCGCGTAAATGCATGCATAAATCACAAACTTCAAAAAGATTTTTCTCACCCAAACACAAGCTACAGAACAAACAGCAAGAGAACAGATAGCAAATAAGGGCATTAAGGCTCATATTAGGATGCCACAGAACAATTTCTCCAGAGTGCGGTTTCGCGGCAGGGCACAAAAAACGGGGCCAGTGCCAGGGTAAAGCGGGAGGGGAGGGGGGGGGGAGGAGTGCCACAGGGGTCGGCCATATATCAGCTCAGATGGTGCGTGAGTGCCGCTGTCATGGGGTAGGAGAGGGAGGGGGTGGGAGGGAGGGTTGGGGTAGGGTAGCAGTGTGGGGGAGGGGGAGGTGGGTTAGAGGTGAGGGTTGAGGAATGGGGGAGGGGTTTAAGGGTGGTCGTGGAGGGGGGTTGGGTAAGGGTTTAGGTGGGGAGGAGGTTAGAGTGAGGGGAGGAGGGTAGAAAGTCGAGGTTGGGTAAGGGTGTTGGTGGGTAGGGGGTTGGTAAGAGTGAGGGAAAGTGAGGTAGAATGTCGGGGGGGATAGGGAGGGGAGGGGCACGCACGCACCACTTATGCGAGTGTATCCAAAGCTAGCTATTATTGCGAACCGAGTCTGTTTGTAGAAAGGGTGCTTGCCTGCTTGCGTGAGGCCGAACACCGTCTCTTCTTGCTGTGCCTGTGTGCAACGATTCGTAAAATGCAACGAAGTGGACGAAGGACGACGTGCTTGAGATCCTGCTTGCGATAGAGTGCTTGCTTGCTTGCTCCTGATGAGTGCCTATGCGCAGAGGAAGAAATAAAAGAAATGTGCATAAAACAGCGACTGTTTATTATAGAATGACCCCCTTGTCGGCGGATTAATACTTTTCAAGAGTCTGTTGCTTGCTTGCTTGCGATGCTATCTTACGGAGATTTAAATGGTGTTACATCTCTTTATTCAGTCTGTGAGTAAGGAACAGAGAATGCGCGATTCGCTATTATCCAACAAGCGAACCAGGAAGCAAACCCCCCCCCCCCCCCCGATGATCACTATATTATGCAAACTGTCGGCTTTATCATCTGTCATAACAACGTTGCAAGATACCGGCTTCGGCTTGGTCGTAGAGCCTGCCTATTTTACATAACATCGTCCAAGATAAATGGTCTTTAATCTCTCGCTTCTCTCTCTTTATTTAGGGTTCACGAGGATAATACTGATAATAACAAAAACATCCGAGGCCTTTTGGGGTCATAAACGAATCAAAACAAATGCTATCTATAAACTCCTCAATTGGGCGACGAAACGGGGGATTCAATGCGGAGTGAAGCCGCGTTCGAATCCACGCCTCGCGAACGCATACGGACGCACGCTCATGGCCGTCAACGCACGTATGTAAACAAAAAACACGTGAGGGAACAAAAACTATGTAAATGAGTTGGTTCAAGACTTAGAGAAGGGGGAAGAAGGGGAAAGGGAGAAGAAAAAAAAGGAGAAAGGGGTAGAGAAAAAAAAAGAAAAGGACAAGAGAACGAGACAGAAAATAGCGGGGAAAAAATGAAGAATTTTAGACGATTAGTACATTTTTTAAAAGGTTCTCACGAAAGATAATAGTGATAAATGTGATACAAAAAATACTAAACTAAGACCCAAGGAAGGAATAGTGTAACACAAGGAAATAAAAGAGAATTTAAAGGGAAAACGAGAAGGGACAAGGAAGGCAATAAAGAGGGAAACGGAGGCATTTACTAACAGGTGCAAAGGGCAATTAGTGGTCGATGAGTGAGAGAACGAACACATGTTAGTTAAACTCATTAAAAAAAAAACACATTCGGAATGGAGGAGTAAACGAAAAATGATGAATGAGGAGACGAAGGAAGAGAGGAAACGAATACGAAAAATGAGTAGATATAAATTTTGATAGCTATAGGGAAGGGAAAAGGAGAAGGATAAAGCTTAGAACGAGGAGAGGGGATAAGGGGAATAAACAGGGAGGAAAAAAAAAAGCTGAAAAGAGGAGACGGGGAGGGGAGGAGAGTAGAGTGGGGAAAGGAAGAGAGAAGAGGGAGAAAGGAAGAAACGAGAGAAGAGGAGGGAAAGAAGGGAAAGGAGGAGAGAAGAGGGGGAATAGTAGAAGAGAAGAGGGTGAAAAAGTAGAAATGATGGAGAGGGGGAAAAGTAAAAGAGCAGAGAGAGAGAGAGAGAGAAAGGAAGAACGGAGAGAGGAGGAAAAGAGGAGGATAAGAGGGAAAGAAGGGGGAGGGGGGGGGGAGAAGGACCGTCGCCTCCGGGCTGACGGATGTCCCCTACACTCAGTTTACATGTAAGTGGCCGAAGTTTGAGCTGTCGCTGACCTTTTTGTGGTTGACCCCGGACGTTCTGGGTCACCCGCGGCTTGATCTCGGCATTTTCCAATTTCTTCGGGTCACATGTGTTATCAGGTCACAGCGGGATGGGGCGCCACGGGTTCAATGGGTTTACAAAAAGAAAATAATTGTGTGCGTGTGTGAGTGTAATATATATATATATATATATATATATATATATATATATATATATATATATATATATATATATATATATATGTGTGTGTGTGTGTGTGTGTGTGTGTGTGTGTGTGTGTGTGTGTGTGTGTATGTATTTATATTTATACACACATTATTATTATTATGATTTTCATTATATTATCATTATTATCATTATTATTATTATTTATATTACTATTATTACTATTATTTATCATATTCATCTTCATCTTCCTCCTTTTCTTCCTCTTCCTACTTTTATTCATCTTCCTCCTCCTCCTTCTTCTCCCCCTCCCCCTCCTTCGCCTCCCCTCCTCCTAATTATTATCATCATTTTCATCTTCATCTTCATCTTCATCTTCATCTTCTTCTTCATCTTTTTTTCTTCTTCATATTCATATTCATCACTATCATCATCATCATCATCACCATCACCATCATTCACCATCATCATCATTATCATCATCATCACCATCATCATCACCATCATCCTCATCTCTCTGTTTTTCCTTTTCCTCCTCTCACATTTCTATTTCTGCTTTTAGAACAAGTGCATCCTTGTGTCGCGTGAAATTGGGTGGTCCTTCTTTTAGTGCTTGAGAAATTAATTGGATTGTCAAATGAGAAAATATTTCCATGATTTATGGATCGTAAGTTTAAGTGTTCAGAAGTGCGTTGGATTTATAATATTTGCTTTGATGCAAGTAAAAATAAAAGTGAAGAAAAGTTGCGAGGCTTCCATCAGTATAATTATATGTCGTGTGATCTAAAAGACAGTTTTAAAGTGCATTTTTATAAATATCCAAAGCACGTCTTTGCTTAAACAACCGAACCGCAATTTCCCTCTTAAGTAAACTGTATTTTTCTTTCGCGATGGAAAAAAAATATACAAATCTATGTCTCAAAGTATAAATAAAAAAGTTATTCCACTTGTAGTCTCCCGTGACCGGCCTCTATGACGTAAATTAGTTATGTGGCTGGGGCAGAGACCAAGTTAATTAGTTATTGGAGGCTAAACTCACAGATTTATGTCGGGTCTCGTTAACCGCGCTGCCTCGATGGTAACCCAACCCGACACCCGATTCCCCCTTCGCAGCTCGCGCCTCCCGGTCACCGCATTGACTCTGACTTCGGCTTCGATTGTCATGGACATGATCGGCATTTTTGGGTGTAAGAGCTTCATTTATTGTCGTATTTATGCTGGCGTTTGATAATTGATTTTGGAAATTGTTGTTGGTTGATACGGATGTGTCTGATTTAAAGAGTCGGAATCTTTTAGAGATCATTAGCGAAAAATACGAAACAAAGGAGAATGGAAGGAGAAAAAATGTCCGCTCACAAGGTAACATTCCAATCTCATTTATGAACCTACAACGAACCATTCGAATGCGAACCGCGGGTGTAAAAGGGAACCTCGGGGTGACAGAGGGGATGCCAGGTTCGCCCAGGGAATGAGACACCGTCACTTTATTACCCTTAGATCCACCGTGCAAAGGGGGACGAGATGGCACTCCTGCTCCTATGAAGAAATACGTGGAAGTGTTGCCGCGCTGTCTCCTCCCTCCCGCGCCGCCATTGTTTTCTGGGCTCGTCTTATTCGCACAACAGGCGGCTGGTCTTATTCGTACATCATGCGGCTCGTCTTATTCGTACATCAGGCGAGGGCTCGTCTTATTCGCACTGCGGACGTTAGACAGTTACCCGTCGGTCTTATTCGTACATCAAGCGGCTTGTCTTATTCGTACATCAGGCGGTTCGTCTTATTCGCACTGCGGACATTTTTTCTGACATTTCTAGCTATTACGATTCATGTCTTTGTGTCTTCTTTTCCTTAGTGTTTTCCTTTTTACCGTTTTTTCTGGCTTAATTTTTCATCCCATGTGTTTGCTATTTGGTTGATATTATTATACTTGTGTTGTAATTTGTGTTGAGGTGGTAAGGAGGGGTATCCCAGGCATGTTTAAGTGTTTATTGCAAAGGCATACAACCTGGAAGTAATTTCATAGCAATGACACCAAGAAGTGAAAGCATACGCGCTGTTTGTGTGCGTGTATGTATGAATGTGTGTGTTGTAACGAAATAGTTGTTAATGTGCAGAACGTGATTGCAACCAATGTGAATCACAGGTTTGTTTCTAGCCTTAAATGTTCCCGTTTGTGGCCAGCGCCTCATGTCCGCCTTGCATTTCAGAGACCTCCTCCTGGGCCCCCACGGCGACGCCTCCGTCATGTCGCACCACTTCGACCCGACGGCACACGACATGCGGGCCATGTACGTCGCCAAGATGACCTACGACCCGACCAAGATGGGCTACGACCCGACCAAGATGGGCTACGACCCGAGCCTGGGGAGCGTGGCCCCTCGACACAACATGATGAAGCCCGACATGCTCGCGCAGCACCTGAAGCCCGACGCGACCTCCCTGCTGCACCACTTCCCCAACATGGCCGCCGCCGCCGCCGCCTCCTACTCCTACCCGGGATACGACCCCTCGGCGCTGCAGGCGGTGACCACGGCGGTGCACCAGGAGATGTGAGGCCACGGGGGCGCGCCGCGGAAGGGCGTGGCGGGGCAAAGGACTTGGTGAAACAGGCCGACTTGCCACCCGTGGGACGAGGCTTGCGGGAAACCAGTCGC